TCTTTAGTTTCTTGAAAGAAACCAAAGGAGTCACCTTCATTTGAACCCTTTTGGATTACCAAGACCTGAATGACTGAGAACCTTCACCAGCATATGTAGCAAAAACACACTGCAAAACATCCTGACTTTCCAATAATCTCCTAAACCATTCATTATAACAGTCTGAACCTGAAGGTTTTGAAACAGGTGGCCAGATGTGGCCACCAGCAGTCTTGAGGGTGTGCACCTAAACCACTTTGTCATATTAGAAATTCACAGGAGTATTTTGAACTGTGAAAACGTAAATTAAATTAGATTTAAAATGCTTTTGCAAGTCAATGAAGCTTGTACAATTTGCTCTTATATTCGCCATAAAAAGATTATACATTTATCTATCCTGGGGGGACATAGGGGTCCCAGCCAATGATTAGGAATGGGCATTGCCCCCATTTTGGCGTGCCCCTGCTTAAATAACTAGTGAAATCAGTTTAAACAGCACTTAACTCAAATAGTTCAATTTCCTCACTAAACTGACTCGCTTGTTTTCGGCATCAGCTAAAATACATTAATCTAAACATAGACGTATATTTTTTCTCTGTTTCGCGGAAGTCACATTCATCTGTAAAAATATCGCAACGCGGTGTCACTGCAGGAAGGGGAAAAAAAAGTTGTTTCGTCACGATCGCTCTGGCGCTGGATCCGGACCAGTGCTGTCATTGGGAGAAGTCCTGTTCCTGCCGCCCCCTCCCTCCTCGCAGGGCCCCCGTGCCGAGCCGCCCGCCTGCCTCGCAGAGTTCAGCCGGACTGGCGGAGAGAGGAATGCGCTGGGATGCGGAGCGGCTGTAGGAAATCGACGGAACAACTCTGACACTATGGACAGCAATGATCCATATTTACACCTCAGTAAGTAACGATCAGGTGCTGTCAGCGTGCGTGTGTGTGTGTTTGTGTGTTCCTAGACTAAAACGCGTTTTGTTTTGACTCGCTGGAGGAGGGGGTTTGTTTCATGGCGTCTTTTCTCTCTCTCACGGAGTTTATAACCACCCACCGACTCCGTTCGGGTAAACCCGGTTGTTCGGTATTCAGTAGATTATTTCAGCATGTGCTCGGACTGAACCGAAAGCGTAAAGTCAGGTGATCGCGCGCTGGTCGTGTCGGTCTGGCAAGGTCAGAGGTTGGCACTTTAATTGCGCTTATGTAATTTATGGCGCTCGTTGTCGCGCGTCTCTTGCTAAACAGTTTGAGACAGAAATTTATTAGTCTGGGACAGATCTGATGGGGAGTGTGGAGGAATGTTCGGGTTTTTAGCTGATAAACTTCGATCGAGTCCCTTTGAGATGTGTGTGTGTGTGTGTGTGTGTATATGTGAGTGTATGTGTGCGCGCGCGCGTTGGACGCGCCCTCACCGCTGAGAAGCTCCGGATAAAAAAGCATGAAGATGTGATTTCTCTCTCAGGTCACACTTGGTGACTTTGCCCTTGAACCAGGTGACCTGTTATAGTTACACTGATTAGTTAGCAACATGTGGAAAAGTTCCACTCCTTAAGTTTTTCTCAGAAACTGCTTGTTCTGGCCAACCCAAATCTTAAATAAAACGGTAGCCAATGTGTGGAGGGTGAATTTCAGCCTCTTTTAGCCTTACTGAGTCACACACTGCATGCATCACTTATCATGGGATTTCTCTTCTTCTTTTCTTCAGTTTCTTGCCACAGCAGTGAAGAAAATAATAACTTCTGAGAATAGACAATTCAGATCGGTTTGATATGGTCAACCAATTCAAAACGCAGAAGTCAGATTTGATTTGAATGCACCATTACCAAAAAGTCCCACACATTTTATGAGTCTGAACTGATCATCTCTATGGTGCTTATTTACAACAAACAAGTCTTCATTGTGTAGGATTTTGCTTCGTTAATCAGTAATCAATTAGTTGCAATTTGCTTTAATCAGAATTGCACATCAGAGAAATCAGAAATCCGTATTGGCTCTAAAAGCAGATTGGTGCCTCTCCAGTTATCACAGACTTCCCTTGAAGAATTAGTGAAGCTGAAAACAGTTTGGTCTTCTGGGAATAAACAATTAGACGTTAAAAGAGGTTCAAATGAGTAATCTTTACATCATTGTTTATTTTAAGCTTAAAACAATTCTTTCTGCCTTGGTTCTGAGTGTGGCGTTGCATCACCAACAGTGACAGAATGCTATATGAATATTTTTTATGTAACAGCAGTACTTTTGGCTCTCAACATTAATTTGTAAAATATGTTCGGTCCAGCCCACGTGCCGTATAAAACAGAGCAATACATAGTCCTCATTCCTGGGCTTTGACTCGGCCAGCCTTTCTAATCTGAAATAAGCATGAAGTTGAAGTGTGTGGAGTCAAGAAACAAGTCTGTGATTATGTACGAATTGTGTCACGATTATCTTCCTCCTCCTCTCCAGCTTTCCCCAGACATGTTGCGTTTCAGCAGGTTTCATGCAGGTCTGCCCATAGGGCTTAGGAAATGGAATCAGCATTTCTCTCTCTCAGCACTTCAGCATTTTTTATTTTTTTGTTGGTGGAAGTGATTCTAGACAAGCTGACGAGAACCTTCTTGGTGCTTTTGACAGGGAGAACTCATTTAGCTTGCAGATCAGGAAAGTATGACAGAAAGAAGAACACATTTGAAAAGTGAAGGGAGCAACAACAACAACAACAACAAAAAAAGAAGTTTGGGGGGAATTGGGAGATGGGGAATATCTCCACAGTTTATTTGAACCATTGTCACTTTCTAGGGGTCATTGATTCATCTCCTACACCCAAACAGAAGCTGTGTGTGTGTGTGTGTGTGTGTGTGTGTGTGTGTGTGTGTGTGTGTGTGTGTGTGTGAGAGAGAGAGAGAGAGAGAGAGAGAGACATGCATACCCAACCATGCAAAAATTATTACAACTATGCCAACTGATTGAAGAGCCGCGATAGAATCATGTGACCTAAAAAATGTGGGTTGTCCCTTTACAAGCCTCTCTGCAGCATTAAAACCTGTTCGCTAATGCAGATCTCTGCACAGATCATTTTCCGCCCGCCCCCGCAGAATTAAATAAACCACAGGTAGGGAGGGTGTGGCTCTAGCTCGGTATTTACTCAAGCTCTCTAGCTTGAGACCTGTTGTGCCTCATCACATGTAATGGTACACAATACTGTACATACAAAAGGCCTATTTTGTGTCATTTTTTGATTGGGTGTGTGCATTTGTAGCTCAACGGCTTTTTTATGTGAGTGCATGTGCTGATCCCGAGAAGAAGAAGAAGATGAGAGTAAAAGAAGGGGTGTAAGGAGGCCATTCGCAGGGCTAATTGCCAGTAATTAGTCATTAGTGAAGAAGGTCATAGCCATGATTTAATTCCAGCTTTAATCAAGCAGAGAACCTGGAAAAGCCCTGCAGGCTGCAGCAGTACTCAGTCATGAGATACATTAAGCTATTTCTTTGGTAATTATGCAGTAAACACGCACGCACGCACGCACGCACGCACGCACACACACGCACGCACGCACGCACGCACGCACACACACACACACACACACACACACACACACACACACACACACACACACACACACACACACACACAGCTACAACGGCGAGCCTACAAAATTATTCCTTGAGGGAACACTGTTGGTTACTAGTTTATTTTACTTTTCCAGAGAATCCCCAGTGCACTGATTTATTCAGAATGTATTTGGAATTGATGCATTCTTAATGAAAGCTGACACAGCCCTATTTAGTTTTACTTTAGTGTGCTGCTACACGCTCATTTTCATAAGGCGACTTGTACAGTTTTGTTTGTAAACATTTGTTACTTATATATCATTAGTATCATTATTAGAATTTTTTCTTATGTTTATTTCATTCATTTAAAAAATACAACAAATAAATAAACAATATACATATAACAAATACAACTTGAATGAAAGGGAGCAGATGGAAGAAAAAGTCTTATAATTTCTGCCCCCTTTTTTAAAACAAAAATAACAAAACTATCTTTATGCATTCCCTCGAAGTTCATTCTGTCACGTTCCTTGTCCATATTTCAATTATAGCCATTATTCACATTCATATCCACCCAACACACTCGATCTAATATATTCTCTAAACACTTATAGAGTTCTTGACTCTTTCACTTCTCTGTCCAGGCAATTTATGAACTAATTGAATATGATTATATTTTTGAAGGATTTCAGCTACAAAGGAATAAATCAGAAAACATCATGCAACTTTGCAAAGTATGTTTTCAGGTTGTTTACTTTTAAATAAGCAATATTAGTCGTTATATATTGCAAACCCTGTTTCTCCAGTAGAAAAATGCCTCCATCTGAAAGCACCGCTCTTCCTTAGACATTGCTTATGCTTACAGAGTGGTGATGTTTTCTACTCTAGCTGATTGGTTGTGATGTTTCTGTTGTGAGTTAATTTCTCAGCCATGTCTGTTGAGACTACTCATTATTTTTGATGTCTTTGTTTTAATGCTGGGGTTTGTTAGGTATGTAATAAAATATTTCTACAATGAAATATCCCAATATTTTTTTTGATACAGAATCAATATTAAAAAGTAGAAAATAAGTTTTTGAGGGGAATTTACATGAAAAAACTTACTGCATTTCTTTTGTGTGGTGCAATTCAAACTCCGACCACTAGTTGGCAGCAGTTTTTGCTGCCTTCATTCTAATGAAACAACGTGATATTGCGATAACACTGCATGTGTCTTAAGTGCCTGACCTGAGGTTTCAATTTAAATTCATCATCCTCATCATCATTTAAATTTGGTCCTAAAATATGCAAATATTGCCCGGCTTTTAGTCCAGTACGGTATTATTTACCCTGGATTGTGATTTATATTGAACCGGCAGATTCTTGCCAATACACACCACTACTGCGCATGGTTCAAACAATGGCTTGAGTGTGTGTTGGTGTCTCTTACCTATATATATGTATATATATATATGTATGTATAAGTGACATCTCTGCATTTGACCCATCCCCGTGGGGAGCGGTTGTCACGTTCTGCCCCTGCCTTCCTGACTGTGTCTCTCTCCTGCCCTGATTAGTCCTTATTGTTCTCACCTGCCCCTCGTTAACCTGCCCATGTGTTCCTGATTTCCCTGTGTATTTATACCTCCCTCCTTGTACCAGTCTTCGTCAGATCATTGTGTGTGTTAGTTGTCAGCGTTGTGTTTGTCCTGCCGTTCCCGCTCAGTTATTAAAATCATTTTTACTTTATCCGAGCCTGCATCTTTGACTCCTGAGCTGCTCCACCACACTTGGTCCATCATCTCCACACCCACAACGTGACAGCGTTGAGCTGCAGTAGTGGCTGTGCTCAGGAACTATTTGGTTGTTTAACTCCCCAATCCAACCCGTTAAAGCTGAGTGTCAAGCAGGGAGGCATTGGGTCCCATTTTTGAAGTATGACCACTGAGAAGGTAGCACTTATGATCTGAATGCCTTGTCATATTTAGAAGAATGATGCTTCAATCCCTGATGTGAGCCTCTTTAAATAATAGTGTCACATATCAAATTTTAAAAGGTGGACAAAAGCACTCGTGTCAGCTCAGAACAGGGCAAGGCAGTCCTAGTACCCGAGTGCCGCCATCCAGCATGTTTTAGCTGTTTCCCCATTCCAACACACCTGATTCAATCAGTAGGTGATGAGCAGGCTTCTGCAGAGCTTGAAAACCTGTGAGCAGGTGATTCAACCATTGAATTAGGCTTGTTAGAGCAGGTGAACAACTAAAACATTCTGGATGGTTTCACTCGAGGACAAGGATTGCTTACCCCTGGTTTAGAACATCTTAATTTCCTTTTTTTCTTTTCAACGTCCTGATGGTCTTGTACAAATTAAGCCCAATGTGATTACCCCTTTCATAAAAAGTCAGTGCTGGCAGGGAGAGCAGGCTGTAAAAAGAGACTTTTCCTCCTGTGATAAGCGTTTGCTGATTAGATTATTACAAACGGAGATTAAACATGTAGGACTCTACCCTAAATTTAGGGATTCCAATTATAACTTCATTTTTCTTCACAATACTTGCATGATTTATAATTAGGGCTCTCAGGGTTCATTTGACATGTTCTATGTGGGCCATCATAACACAGCTAGATCATATGAATGAATAGATTATTATAATTTCTCCCTGTGATGATTGCTGAATTTGAAAGTGTTTCATCCCTGCTAAGTTGTCTTACGCTCATGCCAGGCTGCTTAGTTGTCTTTGCCAAGCTACAGTCAGTGGGAGGATATGGTTACTAGAGTTACAGCAACGTGCAGGTGTCCAGAACAAGAAAACTTTGTGTAGCCCTGCATGCACACACAGGGAGGGCCTCTCAAGTTTTAAAAGCTATAGACTTCAATGCAGAGGGGGAACATTTGATAGGTTTGATGACAAAGGAAAAAAGAACATCTGCAGACTCTACCCAGTCTGTTCCACATTTATTCTGTGCTGATACTTTTTTTGTTTGCATTGCAAATATTTCATTCAGCTTCATTAAGGCGCTGTTTTACACTTGTTTGAAGGCTTCTTCTGATGGATGCGGTCCATAAACAGGGATCATATTTCACATCATGGGCTTTGTAGTCTTATTTAGGTTCCTCTAAGGGGTTGTAAGGCATTGTTCTCGGTTGCCTCTAGTCATATTTTTGGCCTATGCTTGCATGTGGGTTTTCACTTTTGCAGCGTGTTTTTTCTTCTCCATCCCACAGCATTGGCAAAAGGACAATTCCTGACTTCCTGGAATGTTGTAACATTCGTTAAACACACAAACATATGAACCCAACACACAAGCAACTCAACATGCCATCGGGGATGTCATTCAGCATGCATGCAGCCATGTTTATTTCTTTGCATGATAGGGGGTCTGGAGGAAGATGAAGCAGGATTTGTTTGACATCTGCTTCCATCTTGTCCTCCACTTTCTTCACTCTGCTCAGAAAAAGAGAACGAAAACAAGAAGGCATTTCTTCGTTGGCAACATCAAGGTTGACATCGTGTCTTCTCTCCAGCCTTGATCCCTTTTATGAGGCGGTAATCAGACTCTTCTGCTTGTTCTGGACTCTTTTTAAGTACGATCCCACCCCCTCGACCCACCCCCTCTCTGCCTGTCACCTCCGGTTGTGCAGCTACAACAGGTGTCCTCTGTGCAGACAGATAGACATGAGTTGAGTAGGTGGTGCGCGAGCTGATTTGTGCAGCGCTCAGCCTGCAAACTGTTCCTTTGGGATTGATCTCTGTGGAGGGATAATCTGGGTAATCCTATAACTGGCACCAGTGGACTCTGCCTGTTTTGCTTTTCAGTGTCACGCCCCATGCACCCACTGCCTTCATCAGCACACACCCTCTTTCTCCACATCAGATCCTTTTGGTCCTCTTGTGAAAAGTGGTTAATTGAGGATCCACCAAACCACTACTCGAGTCTGACAGCCAGTCGATGTAACTGGCGTTCTGCCAGCTCCACATCAACTGAAATCAAAGGCATGTGGCGATCTGTGTCATCACCTACAACTGGGAACAGCCCTGGGAGAGAAACAGGTTGTTGTCGCTGTGAGTAGATGGTCTTATTTGAAATTAAATGATCACAAGATTGATTTTTACACACAGGCAAAGCTTTAAAATTCTATGCTGTAACCATTTTTTAAAGTAATGTTGCCTCCAAGGAGTTAGTGTGAGAATCGTTGGATATTCTTTGCATGACCACAGTGATTCAATCCCTAATGCAAAGACTTTATTTTGCTTGAAAAATCATATCAAAGTCCTCCATTTTCATTCCTCCCGCAGCTCCATTTGTGCTTTTAAAATCATTGGATCATTTTAACCAGTTGTGACAGGTACAAGGCTTTGCTGTTTCGCGTTAGAACTGAGAGCTCGTGACTCACTCTAAGTCTCAGATGCGTTCAGCGGGGATGTCACTCAGCCTAAAAGGATGCTTCTAGCTCCCTTTGCCTTGTCCTTCACTATCTGTTTAACTCTCAACACTTGTCCCTTCCTATTAGACCCTTTCTATGCAGCTCTGCCTCTCTGTTTGCCTCTGCTGTCTGTCACCTTGTAGCCTTCCATCAATGCTCGCCCTGATGACTTTATCCTCTTTCCTGCTGTGGAGTGGCATGCATTAAGGTCCGCTCACTTGAACAGGTTAGCCTATTTCAAGTGGCTTCATTGTCAATGAATGTTTGTGAAGTTGGTGCTAGCTTCTAAGTGTGCTTGTGAGAGGCTTGTGGAGTGTAGATCATCTCAACGGGAAACCACAAGGATGTTCATTGGCCTGAAAAATTGTCTTTGATGGCAGATCATGTGCTGCTTGTTGATTTTATGAGGGTCTCTTGTTCTGGTTTGTTCTGCAGCTGGACAGTAGACACAGCCTTGTTATAATCCATATAACTATGAGACCCAGCAAGATGAATTCAACACAAAGGGGACTGGATTTTATTTTATTTTATACATTTAATGTAATTTATAGGAATTCTTCTTCTTCTTCTTCTTCTTCTTATTCTTCTTCTTATTCTTATTCTTCTTCTTATTATTATTCTTATTCTTCTTCTTCTTCTTATTATTATTATTGTTATTAAGGGACCCTTCTGCTCTGCCAGCAGGTCCCTTACTGTTATGCACCAGAGAATTTGTTCTCATTTCTCATCTCAGTACGTGTGTGTTCATTAACGCTTTAGCGCCAACATTTCTGGGGTTGTCCACTGCCATTCAGGCCACAATGTGCACACCCACAAATGTTACATCAAAACAACCGGCTTGTCCATGGGAGGTGTTTGTTTACCCCTACGTCACAGGAAAATCAAGAGTTTGGGTTGACCCTAAGGTCACCCCAGTAACATGATTTTGGGCCTAACACATGGCCACTAGCTTGTACCAGTGGGCAGGTCCCTTTTCAAATTTCTTCAAGAATTTTCTAGTTGTTTGAATGTAGTGATCCTGTTTCTCTTTATAGTTAGTAAGTTATTTAGTTTATTATTCTGCTTCCATACATTTTTTGGCATTTATCTACTTCCACAATTCTTCAACTATTTACATAATTTTGGTATCAAAACGCTCAGCTTGTCCAGCTTATGCCGGCAATGACTTTTGGTGTTAAAATATTTTATACTTTTTGAGATATTCAGCTTTTTCTGCGATTTTTAGTCCCATTGAAATGAATGGGATTGCTCAATTTTCAGCTAAATCCTATCACTTTTTTGAGCTCTTACTCTTATAGGTTAACTTTAACCTAGAGACTTCATTCAAGTTTCAACAACCTCACAAGACTTTCAGCTATTAATGGTTTAAAATCTTTTTGATATCTATTACAGTTTTTCTAAAATCACAGGTAGAAGTTGAGGTACGACTTGAGATTTTCAGAAAAATTCACTAAAATTATAATGGGCAGAGATAGGAGCAATGACCCTCCTTTGCTCCATTTCTGGCATTGTCCTGAGAAACCCGTAAGTCCGATTGAAATGAGACGCATGCTGGCTTGCAGCTAACGGATATACCTTCATTTTGAGCTATAAATCACGAATGTACTCCAAACATTGTGGCTGTACGGTTCATTTCTTTGACAATATTCAAAATTTAAAAAAAATTTCTTCCACTCTAAACTGAAAATTCCACACTCTAACTTTTGACCTTCACATTTTCTGGAAACAACTCTTTCCAACCCCCAGACCGTTTGGAGTACCGACACAAATTATATCACAAAAAGTAGGAATTTTTGTCAGCTTTTCAGAATTGGTTTCATTTCGTCCTTAAGTGTTACATTTCTTTCTCTACAAACCTTGGAAGGAGGAGAGACCCTGATTCTGTCTCATTGAAACCCATGTTAACGGAACAGAGATTTCCTCCTCCGATCGGCTTCAGACAGCTAAAATGTTCTCGTCATAGCTTCTAGACAATTCATGGTAGGCACATGAAAATTCACACAGATGACCATCAAAGCGGAACCGCCCCCTCCTCTTTCGCTGCTCTCTCATTGGCTGAGAGTTTTCAATCGTCTTCTGCCCAAAAGGAAATATGCACCCACACATATGATACATCAATTCAACCTGCTTGGTCCCAGGAGTATTGTATTAACTTGATACTGTGTTCTGCGTTACCATGGCAACGTGCATAGCAACAACATTTAACAACATTTTAGACACAACTGTATCAACATACTTTAATATAGAAATGTTATTCCAAGTTTAAAAGAGTCATGTGATATTGTACATTGCTTTATTAATGCAGACTCCTGTCATATGTTACCATGGCAACACAAGGAACTACAAATCACTTTGACCAAGTCTCATAGGAATGAATATAAAAAGCTGAATATTGAGCCAATAACAGACTCCTGTTTTTGATCTTTTTTAACTATCTGTCCTTAAAACTAGAAATAAGTTCAATTTGATTGACCGCCAGAAGGTGGGAAAGTGCCCCGCTCTCTCCCAGCTCCCTGATTGGTTGAGAGAGGTCAATCATCTTCTGGCTAAATGGACTTACACACCCACACATGTGAGACATCAAATCGATCGGCTTTGCCTAAAGAATCCATCCATCCACATATAAATCCATCCATCCATCCATCCATCCATCCATCCATCCAATAAACCATCTAACATCCATCCAACAATCCATCCGTCATTTCATTCATGCAACCATTCATCCATCCCATACCAAGTCTGAACATATATATATGTTAATCTATCAGTTTCAGATATCAGCAAATGTTTCTAAATTCACAGTTCAGCCAATTGTAAAAATGTACCCGTTAAACTATTCTCATTCAAATGCCAGCTGCTTAACATTTCAAATTTTGAGTTTTTAATCTGTGTTCGAAAATTTAAGTTTTCTGCTGTTTAGCATTTTTTGTCCATTCTTCACCTATTTTCTGGGCTTTAATACACTTGTTGGTGATTTTTGCTTCTAAATCTTTCAATACATTCAGCTCATTTTGACAGTTTAGCTTATTTTCAGCTTCACTTCAGCTATTCAGCAGCTTCAGTAATCAGTTTCTGAATTCGGCATATGCTGCTCATTTCACAGTTCAGCTAAATGTAAAAATTAAACTGTTATCTAGTCCTACTGAAATAACAGGTGTTTAGACATTTTAGCTGTCCAGTTTTTTAAACAATGTTCACAGATCTCAGTTTTCTGCGGTTCAGGATTAATTTTCTTGAATCTTCACTTACTTTTTGTACTTTATTTGCTTGTTGATGCTTTTTGCTTTCACATCTTTCACTACATTCAGCTCATTTGCCAGTTTAGCTTAGTTTCAGCTTCACTTCAGATATTCAGCAGCTTCAGCAATCAGTTACCAAATTTAGCATAAACTGCTAATTTCACAGTTCAGCTAAATGTAAAGATTAAACTGTTAAACTTGTCCAACTGAAATTACAAGTGTTTAGACATTTTAGCTGTTCAGATTTTTATACAATGTTCACAGATTTCAGTTTTTTACTATTTAGGATCATTTTTCTCCATTCTTCGCTTACTTTTTGTGCTTTATTTGCTTGTTAGTGATTTTTGCTTCTACATCTTTCAACACATTCAGCTCATTTTGACAGTTTTGCTTACTTTCAGCTTCAGTTCAGCTATTAAGCTGATTCAGCTAACAGTTTAAGCTATCCAGCATTCAGACAGCATTTCTGCAAGAAATCTAGTTATTATTATTATTATTATTATTATTATCATTGTTGTTGTTGTTGTTGTTGTTGTTATTATTATTATTAGTAGGAGTAGGAGTAGTAGTAGTAGTAAAAACAAAAGCATAAAATCAAAACATACATCAAATATTTTAAATGACTTCTCACCCATAAAAGCACATTTTTTTTCTTGAGTTCTCCTTCACTTAAAAATGCAGTAGTTAACTAAAATAATACATCTTTTGTTTTAGTGATGCACAGATAGGAAAGTTTTGAGCCGATACCGATATCCATTATTGATATTTACCGATACCGATATACTGACATTATTGCTTCATAAATCAGCAGATTTTGTATAGAATGAACATGAATAAAGCTGAATTTACATAATTATGTACACACGCCACACACATTTACACTTCTGAGATGATTACACTCACTGTCACATGACTAAACAAATACACATCACTCCCCTCTGAAACAGATAAACAAATATAGACAAGATGGAAAAAATGCGGGTTGTTCATATCAGCCCAGTTTTATTTATGGGGCCGATGCTGATATGTTAAAAAACGGCTAACGCCGGCCGGTACCGATATTGATGCAGACATATCGTGCATCCCTAATTATTTTCTTTAAACACTGGTCCAAACATATCAACTGAGATTCACTAATAACCATTCTTTCAGATGACTTCATTGTGTTCATATTGACTTCTGTTTTTGAGTCAGCCATTTGGCTTACAATAAAAATAGCCAAGTTATTTTACAATAGGTCATTTAAAGTTTGACTAAGTGGATTTTTACTCCCTGTGGTTAAAGGAATTATTGAAAGGAAATCAAAGAGAGACGTTGAAAAGGTGAAGTTGTTTAAATAAACTGTTCTTCAGTTCTTCTGTTTAGTTTCAAACAGAGAACTGCCATAATAACCTTTAAA